CATTTAAAAAGGAAAAAATGTTACTGAAGAGCCTAGGTCGTTCTTTTACCATTTTCCTTAATAAAATTTGAAATTCATCCAGAGACATAGGACTATCATCTTCTCAGATTTATTCCTTAAAACATAATTTATCAAAGTAGTGTGGCTTATATGCTTTTCTGAATAGCTGATAAGATTGGTCTTAGAGTTCACAAATTTGAAGAGGTGTGCTTTTTTTTCCCCTAGGTTTTCTCTGAAATTTTTATGGGTGCTGATCTGTGTTAAATATATTTGAAAAATAAAGGATGAAACCTGAAGTCTTTTGGATGTTAGCTATTTTGACATGTTTTTAATAATACATGCATTAGTATCAGTTAATACCTGCTTAGGTGGGGTAGAGATGGATGGAAATAATGTGTGTTGAGATGTTTCGTCTTTATTCATGTGAGCATAATAATTTTAATATAGTTTAAGATTGAAGGGCTAGACCAGGAGTCAACAAGCTATATGGCCTATAGACAGAAAAACCCATTGCCTGTTTTTATAAATAAAGTTTTATTGGAACACCACCTGGCCCATCTGTTACATACTGTCTTCGGCTGTTTTCTGCTACCATGGCTTGAGTAGTTGAGAAAAGGGTGCATTTTAGGAGCACTGCTAATCCTAAAATATTTACCAGCTCTACTTCTTTACAAAAATGTTTGCTAACTCCTGGGCCAGGCCATTAAGAAAGAATTAGTCTGATGGGTAAATATAGAGCAGTGGGTGGAGAGTGATAAATGTGTTCAGCGTTTAGGATGTTCTTTAGAAGTATTGTCTCCCTCAGGAAAAAACAGGCAGGTCTTCTTCGTATTATGTGGGGGTGCAGTATATGCTCTCAGTTAAGAAAGCTTTTCCCTTTTGTGACTTGAGTCAACAAAATATGCTGTATCCTAGGAACCCTCTCTGCACAGAGTTAATGTCTTAAGTGTTCCCTCCCTCTTAATCACTGAAAAGAATCCTTCACTGGGGGAAAGATTTATATAAAAAGATTTTCTCAAAGCATTATAAAATATGTTTACATACCACTTATGGAAAAAATTCAGTATGGCCATTTCATGTGTTTTAAAAATATCTGAGTATTATAAAAAAAATCTAATGCCATGGCCAGAGATTTAAAACTTGTACGTGTGATTAAGGATCTCACTTATTTCAGAGTGATGCTTTATGGGAAATACCGTACCAGCTGAAGAGCCCGCATCAGCTCTCTTTCCATTTGCTTACGTGCACTAGGCTAGTCTTCTCCAGCACTTACCTCGCCTCCCTGACCTTGGCCCCTGGGTCTCTCCTGCCAGCTTGCTGCTCTGTCATCCTAAGCCTCCTTCCAAGAGTCCTGAGCTGAGCCTTGAGCTAGCTTGTGCCTGCCCATTGCCAACTTCCCAGTCTGGACCAGTGTCTGAGCCAGCCCAGCAGCCTTCCCTGCAGAATCCCAATGTCCAGGGCTCTCTGGCAGTGTCGGTGGGCACCCTGGCTGCGTCCTTTCATTCTCAGAGCTTCATCCCTGCCTCGGACATCCCATGGCTGTCACCTGTGGGATGGCAGTGTAGGCAAGGAGACAGAACCCAGCACCTCCAGCATCCCTGGGGTCATCTCAGTGTCTGTGGGGCTGTATCTTACCTTGCATTACTGTTCAACCTGAGATGTCTTTAGGATAAGGGAGCAGATACTTTGCAGCATGCAAATACCCCTCATAGACAAGGAACCATTAGTCCTCCATATTTAGTGCACTTCACCGTGAGCCCATGTGTCAGGCGCAGGGCGGGTGTCGGGGACATAGAGGCTGGTGAGGTCATGGGTCTGGGAACATAAAGCACCACCAAACCACCATTAAATATTTGTTAAATGAGTAAATGTAACTGTAGAATTTCCCGTGCAGTTTGGCACAGTCATGACTATGACTTTGCAGCCCATATCTATCTCTCCTTATAATAAAAAGCAGGCCAGTCAAAGGAGCCCAAGGTGCAAGCCACTTAGTGGCTTTCACCATGAGGGATGGTCCAACAACCACAGGACCATTTGCTGAGACGGCACCAACAGAAATAGCACTTGTTCTATAAATGCTGCCTTTTCCACAGCAGATGATGAAATAAAACAGAAATGCTTATAAGAATGTCAAATGGCAAAGAATTAGAAATAAACTTACATGAGGAAAATCATGAAAGGAAGAGAGATGCAGGTAGAAAATGCCAGCTGGGACGGGGAGCCTCCCCAGGGGTGTGATAGATAAGGCACAAAGAGAAGAAGTCAGGAGGTGCCAGGGCAGCAAAGGAAGGCAGCAGCTGTCCATGAGAAGGAGAAGTAGCCAAAGGAGAGAGCAAGTGTCCTTCGCCCCGAGGACTTCCATCCCAGAACCCAAAGAAGTGAGCTGGAGCACATAAAACACCATCCCAACGGAGAAATTCCGTCCCGGGATGCTGGACGGGCGTTCCCAGCCTCCCATCAGGACTTGTCATCCTCGACGTCAGTGTCAGGGCAGGGCCAGCCCCAGCTCACAGCAAGCTCCACACACCTGGAGTAATTGGCACCAACCCAGCTTAGCTGCCTCAACTTCTTTTTCTGAATGGACAGCATAGAAACCCACAGCTAGTTTTCACAGACACTGGTGTCTTAGACTTGAGTATCTCCCAGGGTCCCAACCCAAGGCTTAAATAGAGTTGTCAGAAAGTAAATATTTGATTTGTTGGCTAATAGTACATTGTAATGTGTCCTTTGAGTTTTATATTCAGGAGTTATGATGAGATATAATAAGAAGTATTCATTGAAATATTTATTAAAACTTGTTTGAAGACATGATTCAGAATATATCCCATTGTTTGGGGGCAGGGAAGAATGACCTGAAACAATTCTGAATGTTTTTAAGTTCTGAGAGACAAAGAAGTATTATTTTAGTTTAAGGTTATTTATATTTATATTTATGTTTATATTTAATTGCTTAACATTTTTAGATTGTCTTTTTAATTGAAATATAAATATAGTAAAATGTACTTAATGAGATGGAATAGTGTATTGACTGTAATTTTACTGCCCAGTACTGTATGCTAATCAAGTAAGGAACTATTTGGGACTTTTTCCCAAAATAGCCTCCATGGACTCCCCTGGGTCACCTGCTTCTCACCTTCTGTGCACCCAAATCGTAGTTGGTATATGATGTTCAGTTGAAGGGGTATAAGATTATGAACCATCAAATAACAGTAAAAGATTTTTCAGTGAATTTCATTATACTTTTTGACTAATAATAAGTGAGCAAAACAAAATAAGGAAAATTTTCTGGTTAAAATTAACTAGAATATTTTATTAATTAAGACTTTAGTCTACCCATTTTTCTTTGTTCTTAACTCATGGGTATGGAAGGGTCTTTTATCTCGTTTGCTCCAGAAGAAGCACCTGGATAAAGCAATGAATATTTGAAGTTCATGTGAAAGTACATTCAGTCAATTCAGGAGCCGACACAAAGCACCGAAGGCATTTTTCATTGTGTGTGTGTTTCTTAAATCACCTCCTCTTCCCAGAAGACTGCGTTATGCCAGGAGCACAATTTGCAAAGTCAGCACTTTATTAAAAAGGGTCGAAATCCTTTCCTATACATTAAGTCCACAATACCTTCCAGAAATAAGTCAGGGGTTTCACGAAATAGGCCAAAGCCGATGTGACAAAGTACAGAAGACACAGAGCTTGAAAGTCTCTCTCGGTGTCAGTTATTCATGAAGCTTGACCCCCTTTTCTCTTCCCAGCAATATGATTGCATTTATTCCAAATGCGTCGCCCTTATCCCATTCAAAAGTATAATTAGATGTTTGAGTTCCCTCCTGTCAGGAGCCATCACATGGCATTTTCCTAAAGCACTGGTCTGCTGCTGTTGTTTGATAATGATTCATTTCCACGCCACTTTTCTCCACTCAACAGTGAGTTGCAACAGGGCTGACGCTTATTCTCCCTTTGCATGCCCTGGACCATGCGCAGTACCTGCTGTGCCCTAAGTTTGCTGATTTATCCTACAGTAGATCTCTATACTTAACTCGAGGTCTTAATTTGAAATTCACTTTGATAAAGGTGTTCCTCCCAGGCAGGTAATCTATTATTTATTTCCATTTAATAGTCTCATCCTTTTTATCTTCTTCCTTCCAAAGTGAGGGAGAAATATTCTGAATGGCAGAGTAATGCCTGCTTGAATGCCCTCTTCTCTTGAGCCCACGTATCTTAACTGATTCCTCTACCATAATTCAGTTCCTGACACACTGTCCCTCACAGCTCATGTTTGGGTCAAGCTCTCTGCCAGGCACAGAGTGCAGTGGAGTGGAGTTTGGGTGGCCCACACTGGACGTCACTTGTGACTCTTCTCTTTTTAACTTGATTTCTCCTCAACCTGCAAAGATTTGGGGAGGGTGAGGAAGGGCTGCCTTATTCTGAAAACAACTGCATGTACAACGAGGATCATTGCTTATTTCCATCCTCTAAAGAGGTGAAATACCATGGTGCTCCCTTGTATGCATGTGAGATTAGATAGATTTTATAGATATTTTATATATGTGCTTTATGTATATTATCACAGATCTTATTTATATGTATCTAAACTATATATATAAATATACCTTGTCAAATTAAATATATTGATAGCTGTGAATGTATATTTATGTTAAGTAAATATAGATATTTTTATGTGATATACATATATATCATAAGGCAAATCTTTTGCTTACTCTTATAGCATCAAGTAAATATTACTTCCATGAATATTTACAGCTGCTTCCATGAAATTTATGGGGTTTCTCTTTTTAGTAATTAAAAAGTGATGAGACTATTGATTGGTGCCTGCTACAAAAGGAATGAAAGGACTAAAATTGAATAATACATTTTCCACCTAAATTGACCTTAAATGGCTTTGATTTCAGATAAGGCAATTCCATTTCATTTACATGAAAACCGAACAGTTTCATTAAAACTGTATTATGGTGGCACTTTTTGTACCTGGAGAGTCTTGATGCTACAAATAAGTCTAAAATGTGCGAACCATCATTCCTATAACCATGCTCAAGATATGCTTCCCTCGGCCAAAATCTTGAGAACCTTGAAAAACAGGCCAGTAGATTTGCAAACCACCTGGGAGCAGCTCTGGACTCTTTGCCCCTAAGCAAAGAGGGAAGACAGGTTAGACTGTCCTCTTCAGATCAATACTCTCCCTGTTCCTGGTGGGCAGTGACCGACCACTTACTGTTTCTACATCCGAGAGCCTGTTGGCAGTAAAATTATACACTTTCCTTTTGGAGAAGGGAGAAAAATGTTGGACAGTAAGGTATGCTAGTTACTAGAGCCACCATCTAACCGAATGAGTATCTTGGAATAGAACAGCAATATATATTTTTTCTTAAGATACAAGCAGCTCAACTCTAGCACAGGAGGAGGACTAGGTACCTTTATATTGAATTCTTCCAGCAATAACAAAAGCCTCCAAAGGTTATGAAGACAGCTTGAACGTGAGCTGGAGCATGGAGACCAGAAAGGGGTGGGTAGTGGGTGGGAGGAATGTCATGAAGGAATCTGGGTCGAAACATTTTATCTCATACCTTACATATGGGACTCCCTGGGATTTCATTAACTGGCTTCCAGAAGTTAGGGGGTTCTAGAAGGAAGAGAAGTTCAACATTCCAAGAAAGGATTTGAGTTCATCATTCCAAGAAAGGATTTGGTAACAAATTAAAGACTTAAAAGTTCAGCACCATCTCAGATATGCCTCCTATTTATCCTCAGGAAGGTTTCTCAAGCCTTTTGAATGAATCATAAAAAAAAAAATCAGGTCAACAGAATTTTGTAAATTGTGACCTATGTTGTTCAGCGAAAGGAAGGGTTCCACTGTATCAAATACCACAAGGGGGATCAAGGCAGAGAGGACCACTGGTCTTGTGAAATTGTGCACATGCTTCTTCACCTATAAAATGAGAGAATTACAATCAATATCAAAGATATCTTCTAGCCCTAAAATTTCCTGATTCTGTGATTTCCACAAATACAGGTGGGTTGGTGAGCTTCCGATGAGAAATTTTTGTAGAGACCCCTACAAGGGATTGTGAGGAGGGGAAGGGAGGTGGTGGGCAAGAAGAGAAAGAGGACATTGACAGCTTGTTTAAAAAATATACAGTGTGTAAAGGAAAGAAATAAGATGATCATTAGAGTGACTCCAGTATCAAGTAAAGATCCATGTGGAATAGTGGACGCACTTAGAGGTGTCAGTGTGGGATGGGTGAATAGAAGAGGCTCCCACTTTTCAGGGAGGTGAAGGAAGCAAGACAAACCCCTTGTGCTGATTCCAGTAGACGACTTCTCAGGTGCCTGTGGTCCCTTGAGTCAGGAAGAGATTGTTGATACTGGTGCTGGTGAGAGAACAGGAGAAGGCTGAGCACGCAGGGTCCCAGAGGACACATGTCCTAAGGCATGAGGCAAGGGAAAGGGAATGACAGGCCGGAAAGGAGGGGGTGTGCCTGCGACGGAAAAGCATGTCTGATGATCTGTGGTTTTTTCTTAACAAGAAAACCACGGCCATACCTGACGCAAGCTGTGGGAATTGTGCTGGGTTTGAGGAGGACGTCCCAGGGAATGAGAACAGGGCCGTGATGGGACCCCGTTGCCCTTTGAGCCAGTGGTCAGTGAGGTGCTGTCACTTGACCTTGACCCTCTATTACCAATGGTTCGATTCGTGCGTTGTGCTGTGACTGTTACTCAAATCCATCTATCTGCTGTTCGCATGGGTAGTAGCAGAATTCTCCTGGTGTCCTTGGGACCCCAAACCAGTAACCATGACTGTCTCCGGTTGCACAGGACCTAAGAGAAAACTGAAAACCAGAAGAGTTAAGTGACTTGCCCAGTGTCACAGTGAGTTTGCGTCATGGTCAAGAATAGAAATATGTTTTCTTTTTTCTTTCATGGTGGTCTCTGCTTTAATTCGTTTCACACAGGAGACCAGCGAGGCAGTGAAGCTTGCCCTGGCCTGAGCCTGGCTTCTGCCCCTGACTTCGGCATGACTCAGTGTCTCTAGGTCTCAGATTATCAGTAAAAATTTTCACTTTAACATAGGTCTCAAAGAATGTGCAGCCAGTTCAAGGGCCATTCGAAGCCAAGTACCAGAGGTTCTGACTCCCTGGGATTTCATTAACTGGCTTCCAGAAGTTAGGGGGTTCTAGAAGGAAGAGAAGTTCATCATTCCACGAAAGTATTTGGTAACAAATTAAAGACTTAAAAGTTCAGCACCATCTCAGATATGCCTCTCTCTTGCCCTGAGGGCTCTTCCCACTAGTCTAGTAGCTGAAAGAGGAGCGTCAAGCAGTGCAGGCCAGTTGCAAAGTGAAATCATACATGATGCACAATATACAAGGTTTCACCAGGTCAGTGTAAGTGATGTTGGAGCTCTGCTCAGAGGACACCAAAGCTACAGGCCAAGGGCTTGTCCCACCGCTTGACAACTGGAAAAGGAAAAGTCAGCAAGGATGGTGACATGATAGGTGCTTCAAAAGAAAAGATAGGAATTTTAAAGGATTGTGAGGGACTCCTGGGAAAATTCTGAAGCCCTCAAATATCCTTTAGGAAATAAGGATATAAGGAAATAAGCCCTTGCACCTTCTTTAAAATTGTCATCTACCACTACCACTCAATTTTGAAGAAAATTATATAATCCTCCATCAAAGCTTCATTCATTTTTAATTTGTTCTGAAAATTAGAACATAGTTCCAATTTCAACCTAAATTTGCTTCCATGGAAGATAAATTCATTTTCCTGAATTCTATTACATTTCTCAAAGTCTTCATTGACCTTTTTATTCACTGTTTCCTGTGAAATGTACGCTCCCATCTAGAGCAGGGTCACTTTAAATGCCTTTTCTTGGTGGCAGTGTTCCTCGGAATCAGAGGATCCTCTGTCCTCAGAATTTTAGTGTTTCTATAACTTTCTAAATCTAGTCTGTGTAACCTGGGAATAGAACAAAGAAAGTGAATGAGAGGCGGCTGACGCAGGGACTGGGGTGCAGTAGGACCGCTCCCGTCACTGACCAGCCTCGTGGCCGCGGTCGGGGAGCCCGTCTGCTGGGAGGCACTCCGCTGGCGTGCTCGGCCGTGGGGCTCCGCCAGTGGAGGAAGTTCAGAGACAGCCAGGATGGATCAGGGAAAAGGAAGGAATCCAGCACTTGGGGATTTTATGGTTTCTTCATGGTGTTACTGTGTGTTTTCCTTCCTGAGTTTACTGTGTGTCCTCACATTCTTTATCACGAACAAATCGGGGTCCTTGCCTCTCCCTTCTTTTGGGAAGGGTGAAATAGATTCTGTTCTTCCCTCGGCAGGCAGAGAATGCTTGAAATGGGGAAGTACTTCGAAGTTGAGCATTTTACCCAGATGCAAGAGGTGCATGCTATGCCTGTGCGCGGAGGCAGAACAACTGAGAACATCATTTGAAAAGAACCAATTGCTTTAAATTAGCGAGTTCACATTGATTCACTTTCCAGTGCGGTTCCTTTAATTAGCCTAATCCCCCCTGTCTCATGGGGAGGTGGCAGTTAATATCTTTCGTGGCAGCTCATCCTGCTGTTAAGATGAAAGTCTTTTTCTAACCAATTTCTCTCTTGCCTGAGAGAGAATAAAACTAATACTCTTTGGGTTTCTCACTAGCCATGTACTCCATTAACCCTCAGGGTCCCCGAAGATGGTCAGGACTGCGGGTTACCGGGGGGACATTTTGCCCATTCAGAGCAGATATACCCATTTGGGCGATCCCAGCATAACGCATGACCTGAGTTATTAGTGTTGGTGGTCAGGGGCCCTGGGAAGAGCTTGCAGCTCACTTGGCCATTGGCTCAAAGTGCAGCATAGAATTTTTTACTCTTCCCATTTTGGTAGCAACATCCAAATGATACGTATCAGTTGGATCTCCTGAGAAGCAGGTGCCAAGATGGAGTCAGGAGTGCCAGAGGTTTATTAGTTCATTATGCCAGTCAAGGATAAAGGGCAGGAAGCAGGAGTGGGGCAGGCGGAGTGTCAAACAGTGATGTTGATGGGACAGTCTCGGCCATCCCAGCGAAGAGCTCCGGAGCAGTGACTGCCCGTCAGAGGAATCCTGGGTTGGGCAGGAATGCACAGCCCCTGACACCATGCACGTTCAGTCATTGGCTGTGAGCTGCCTAGACCTCAGCTTAAGCCCCATGGCCAATTCTGAAGGCCCTGACCCAGAGGCCGCCAGCTCCCCACACTGCTCAAGCTAAATGGTGAGTTCTTGAAGGGAGATCTGAGCAGCACACCTCCTTGGTATGACTTATGCCACTACAAATTGGAAGCTAATACTGAGCCATTCAAATGAACAAATCCCTCAGGAACTAGATGCACACACGTCAAAGCGGCAGTTTAGCATTTATGAGTCTTGTCATTTATGAGTTTTAGTCATTATCAAGGTTCATCAGATTGTATTTTGGGAACATACATTGCTTTGCTTTTTTATGAAGTTAATTTTATTCTGAAGAAGAGCGATGCTAAAGAACCCAGCCTGTATCAAACAGTTTAGTTTAAAAAGTTGCCTAGCAGTGGTACAAAACAAAAGAAAGAAGCAATTAGGTTTATATTTAGTGATCCATCTATATGCATCTGGAACACATTTGTGGAATAATTCAAAAGGGCCAATCCATTTCATACCTCCTGCTGCTAAATGAATGTGGGTGTCAGGCTGCTATTTTCACAGTGCAAGACATTTATTGTTGATAAAAAAAAATTCTCCCACTTCCATATAATCAGTATCCTGGCAAATGACGCTGTAGCCAAGTATAAAGTGGAAAAATTCTTTAAAAGAAAATAGGCCTTATGACTTAAAAGTGAAAAAACAGCCGACCGCAGATCAAAGCCTTCACACACACGCACTGTGCTCAAACGGACCCATTCTTTGCGGAATGTGTGGTCCTTAGGTTGGAGAGACAGGTCCTCACGACTCGCCCCTCCTCAGCTGAACAGTGCAACGCTTTAATCATTTGGTCAACACGGACCATTTAGCTCTGGGCCTGGCTCACACAGCTGTCGGTGTGAGTGCAAGCTGATGTCGTCTAGTGCTTCTAACAACCGTCTCCCCCTTTCCCTACCCCTTCCCCCTGCAAGCAATATAAAATCAGCAGCTCACTGAACTGAGGGTATGGAAGTTAGGCCTATAAGTGATGTACTAGCCTTAATCATTTCTTCTTCTTAAAAGTTTATACAAGAGCAGCTTACTCCCGAGGTGGTTGGGAGAAGAGAGGAGGCGATGCCTTAATCTGTTTCTTTTATTTAGATTGCCTGGGAAAACATAATCAGACTGCTTCCAGCCTCTACGAGAGTGAGCCTTGGGCCAAAGAGATGTCTGAGTCCAGAGCAGGGAATGCTCATGAGAGCTCATCACCAACACCACTTAAGAAATATTTTTCCTAGGCTGGCAGAGTTCAGAAGGAAAGTAAAAGAGGTATAGAAAGGCTGACTAAGTTGATTTCCTGCTGAGAGCATCTGTCACCAGTATATCATGGAACACGGTGAGGATGTGTTCTGTGAGTAAGTCCATTGGGAATACAGACCAGGGCGGCAGGCTTGGCCCCGCACCACCCACGCAGTCGGATAGGGAAAACTTTCTTCCTGAACAGGGAGCCTATTTGCCATGGAAAGAGGAACATTTGGAACACCTAAGCTGATGACTTGAGCAGACCTGGAAACTGAAGATAGGATGGAACAATGATAAGCTTTTTCACCTGCTTATTCTCAAAAATTGAATGTAAAAGGAATTTCTTTAAATGGAGAGGTGGATATAAAAATTCTGAGACCGTTTTTTTTTTTTTCCCTATTGCTTTCTGAAAATAAGTCTGGATGTAGGTATTTAAGACTTCGTCAGAATCCTTTTAGACATTCACTTGTGGGTGGGGACGTCAGGGTACTGGTAAGTCACCTGCCAGCAAAACTCTGAAGTAGGGTTTCTCAGCTTTGTGGTATTGACATTGAAGCCAGACCAGCTGTTGTGGAACAATATCCCTTCATTATGGGGAATTTAGCAGCATCCTTGGCCTCTGTCCACTAGATGCCAGTAACACACACACACACACAGTTATGACAACCAAAAATGTCTCTAGAATTGCCACATTTCTCCTGCAGGCGAAATTAGCCCCAGTTGACAGCCAGTGTTCTAAGCCAGTGGTTCTCAAGATTGTTGAGAGAATGAAGGCCTAGAAACAGTGATGCTCTATGTAGGACACCATGAGGGATAATCATCTTTAAAATGCCATCATTCCAATTCTGAATGATTTTCCTAGCAGAAAATGGCTTTATAATGTATAGACTACAAAAAATTGTAACATCTACTACACATGCCAAAGATGATAATGAACTGTCAGAGTCAGCATGATTAGCAATTTCCTTGTATATCCCATTAATTTTAAATTGAGTAACTGACATGGTTTGCAGAAAAATTAACTGAGAATTTTTCTCCTTACAACTTAAGAACTGCAAACTTTAGTTTAGCTATAGAATTTCCAGGCTGTTAGCTAGTCATGTTTTCTAAACTTTGACCATTGACAAACTATAACTTGTGCCAGAACCACATATTACTATTACTTGCTTGATCAGTTTCTTTAAGAGACTCACTTCTTTTTAATTATAGAAATTTATTTTAAAAGAAATCATGTCACTGCTGAAAATAAAAAAGATCAGTTGTATTTTGTAAAATACATACATACATAAATATATAACTAATAAATACTTTTTTCATACCTAAAATCATCATCATACCACACTTTGGAACCATAGAACTAGTCACACACCTATATTCTATTAAAATCTTCGGTGGGGCCACAGGAAGGCTCATGTAACTCCGTAACACTTTAATTCTAAGCTGCTG